AGGCTCGAGCCGTGGCTGTGCAGGAGGTGCCTGTGCCAGCCCCTACTCCAGGTAGATGTCCTCTGTGGGGCACGTGTACTCCACATACTCCTTGTAGAATTGCTGAAAAGCCCTCCTGCAACACAGCACCGGGCAAAGCTGAGCCGCGTCCCCATGAGGCATTTACAGAGCCCTGCTTCCCTTCTCACCCTCCCTCCCTCCCTACCCTGTGGCCACTTTGACCCTCCAGCCCCTGGCCCCTCCTGCGTCAGCCCCTAGAGCTGCCATCAGAGCTGCAGGGTCTCCATCCTTGCTCTGATCCCCTGCACAGTGCAGGACTTTCAGCCATCTGCCTGTAAAGCCTTGCACTGGGACTTGTTCCAGTGCTGTCAGGAATACACTGCCCATAGCCCTGTCAGCCCTGGCTCCTGCCCCAAACCTCTTACTTGAGGAAAGAGATGCCAGCCCAGGGCCAGATCCAAGCCCCACATGTATGGGGAGATGGCAGGATTCAGCCCGGCTGCCTTGTTCCTCCTGCCCTTTGGGAACAAGTGCCTCCCTGCCCACCCAGCCCGGACTCACCCTACAGACTCTGCCAGTGGCTTTGTGGACTCCTCCGAGACGAAGACATGACAGGCAAATCTGTGGTCAGCAGGGTGCTTGGTAATGAACCCGAAATATCTGAGCACAGAGAGAGTGGGTGTGACTGGACCAGCAGACAAGCAGGCATAGATACCCCAGCATACCCAACGTGTACCCACCCTTGAACATAGGGTTTTGGGACCTGCATCCTCCTAGAGCCTACGGACCCATGCCCAGAGCTGGGATGCAATTCCCATCCAAAGGCTGCTTTTGCATGAAGCTGTGGTGCTGGGCTCACCGGGGAAGGGAAGCCCTTGGGACCAGGGCACCAGGAAGCCTCCTCTCCCCTCCCCTTCCCTTCCCAGCCCCAGTCATGCTGCCCCAGGGAGCAGGAAGGCAGCAAAGCCTCCGAGCTGAGCTGCTGCTGTTGGGAGTCACACCACATCTCCTCACTACTCACTTGTTGTTCTTTGGATGGTACCCACAAAAGGAAATGTTCTTCAGCTGGAAAAAATGGCTACACTTGTTTACCTGGGAGGAGGAAAAGAGAGACCTACTGTCAAAGCTTTCCTCTCCACCACTCTGCAGGCAGCCAGTCTCCGGCTCCTGGAAATATGCACTTGGACTGAGCAGTGAAATGAACCTGAGCCTGATCCTGGGCCTTGCAGTCCCAAGTACCTGCACATAGGGTGCTCTTGCAGGCAGCACTGCTGGCTCCCACCCTGGCCGCCTCTACCTCCAATGGGGTTTCCTGGAGGCCTTGGGTTAGGCTGTACTTGGGCCAGGGTCAGTGCTGGTGTTTGCCCAGGCCACACAGCCCTTCTCCCTCGCTAAAAAGGCTCTCAGACATACCAGCAGCTAGAAGATGAATGCATAACTGAGAACTAAATACGTCAGTCGAGCCTGGGTGTTGAAATTATTTATACAGTTTTGAAGAGCAACCAATTTGATGGCATCCTGTAGATAAAGGCAGGGCTTGTAGAAACTCCAGCCCAGCTCCCTGCCACATCATCTGCAGCCGTGACCTGCTCCTACCCCCAGCCGTAGGGGAGGTTCCCCAAAGGCTTGCTGCAAAGCCCTCGCTTGCCTCTGCCCACCATCTCGCTGGGCTTTGCTCGGCTACTTATGCAGAACATTAATCGGCAGCCTGCCTTAGCCAGCTAAAGAGATTACAGGGCAGATCTGGAGGACACCGCTCAAAATAGTAGCGGAAAGGTTCAGGAGCAGCTGACAGATTACCAGCGCGGCTCAGCTCGCAGCATCCCAGCACAGCGATGGGCTTGGCAGCTGCAAAGGCATCATCAGCTGGTGGTACGCACCAGGGCTGGGAGCCCGTGGGGTGTGAGGGACCCTGAGGTGGGCTTACAACCCTGCAGATGGTGTTTCTCACACCCTTAGATGGGTGGAGATCCTCCATTTTCATATGCAAACATGACCTGTAGCACAGGGGCCATAAGCCAGTGTCCGGGGAAGGGATAAGATGAGTGGGGAGCAGGGCACTACCTTGCTGTGCTCCTTGGAGTCATCGGCTTTCACGGCAATCTTGACCCCACGCACGCTGATTTCCAGGACGCAGCTGGAGGGTGGGTTAAAGTGCACAGTGAGGCGGCGTGTAGTGGCAATCTAGGGGGAAGACAGAGAGGTGAAAGCCCTGGCACTCTGAGCAGTGATGATGGCTCACCCTTTCCCTTCCCCACTGAGGCTCTGCCGTGCTGCCAGAAGCAGGCACTCCTGCTCTCAGGGATGGGGTGAGACACTACCTTCTGCATGGCCGCGCACAGCACGTCGTTGCCCTTGTGATAGGGAACCTGCACTGAGCCGAGGAACTTCACTCGAAACTGATCCACCCAGTCACTGCTCTTGGCCAGAGCTGGAAGAGAGAGCACGTGGCAAGGATCGTCTCTGGTGACTGGGAACATGGGCTGAGATCCACCTCCCCTCTCCATATTCTCACCCCTCCATGTTTCCCTGCCCAGACAAGGCTTCCCACAGCACCAGCTCCCAGCATGGCACCAGAAGCTGCCCATCGCTCCCTGCCAGGTGCCCAGCTTGCTCTTCCTTCCATCCCCTTGCTCAGGACCAGGCTCTGCTTAGCAGAGAGGAGGTGGACACAAGACGGGAGACATCAGCAGGTTGCGTACAGAGGCTCGGTACCTGTTATGTGGTCTGGGTCCTTGGTGACTTCAATAGCATAGTAGGCAGGAAAAATGCCCCGGTCACCCGTCCGCATGTTGTAGGCCTCGTACCAATAATCTTCTGCTTGCACCTCCACCAGCAAAGGATCATCCACCTCCAGCTCCAGCTCATCTGCATGGCGAGGCACAAACCTGGGCAGGGAGGCATTAGAACCGGCATGTTGCTGGGGCAGGGGAGCAACACAAAACCCACCACCGGCCCAGGCAGGCAGCACCCTGGAGGGTGTAATTAGCCATGGAGACCTGAGATGCTGAATAAAGCTTCTGAGCAGGTTGAGACTCAAAAGGCGGCAGTACCCTGACACCTAAGGCAAGGTGTCCCGATGGCACCACCAATGCTGCTCCCCTAGAGGTCCCGGCTGCCCTCAGAGGTCTTGCCTCTGCAGCAGCCTGGGCAGGTGTCACTCCTGGGCAGAACACGAGCTATAGGCACTGGTTTGGTCCCTGGGGCTTCCCAAAAGCTGGAAACACGGGGGTTTGGGCTGACCCCACCATGGTGGGAGGGCAGCACTGGCTTTGCCCCATGAGAGCCTGGAGACAAAGCTCACACCTGCAAGCTCACCTAAAGACAGCGCGGTGGGTCTGCTCCTGCTCCTCCCCGTTGATCATGCAGGAGAACAACCCGAAGGACTCGGCACCTGAGCACAAAGGCAGAGGGGGACATCTCAGTGTTGAGAGGTCAGCACCACAACTAAGGGATGAACATCAAGCCAAAGAGGCTGCTGATGCTCCTGAGGGGTGGCTCGGCGGAGATGAAGCCATGCAGTGCCGCAAAAGAGAAAGCCATGGCTAGAGCCACCGCACTGGTGCCCAGTGGTCCCTGCTGGGACCATGACTTCCCTATGCCACCCTGCACAGCTGTGACAGCCAGTGTCACCAGCACTGTGGGACCAGCTGCGCCGCAGGAAGCCTTGCCTGCCAGGGCAAGCCACCAGCACCAGTGCTCCTCCAGGCTCAGGGAGAAGGGGGGGGACACTCCACGAGGGATGCTGTTC